ATCAAACAGCTCTTCTTGCTTAAACTGGTTGACTCATCCAGCATTAGACTGAGTTTGGGTGCGCACTGTACTATCTTTTCAAACAGTTCCTTTTTCATTTCATCGGAAATATGTTTCTGTATGTTTGCACATGCAACATTGGAGTGTAAAATCCTCCCCATATCGAGTCCATTTAACTCTTGGCAATCAATCTCATGTTCGAAGCCATATGCGGGACGGTTGCGTTTAGCCTCCTTGTATGCCGTGCGAAAGACGCGAGCTGTCTTAGTCATCTGTTCAGACAGACTATTAATTATAGACTGTCCTAAAGTGTCTTCTTTAGCCTTCTCAAGAATACTTACTGCTGCTAGGTGAGCTTTGGTACGGGCATGTTCAAAGACTTTTTTTCTGAGCGCGTGTTGCTGTTTTTTAATATCAGAAGAAGATGAGGCCACTGTACTTGACACCCACTCTTTAGCAAGTTTCATTCCTCCCGTTTTCTCCGGCCCCAAAGTCCCCACCGCCTTACAAATTGTGCAGCCCAAACCAGAACTGTCCATAAGAAGCCAGGGGTAGTAACTCTGCTTCACCTTGAACTGAGCAGCAGTCCAAACAGTTGCGCATCCCCCTGACCTGTCGCTGGATGAACCACATTCCTCTCCGCTCAGTGCGCGCCTCCTCTCCTTCTGACGCTTCATGAAAGAAGCGCGTTGATGTCGTGGTTCCCGCCTCTTGCTGCTGTACTTGGCTAGCTGATATCTCCATACTGGCCTCTTGCTCCAGTTGTTGGTGGGGGTCCACATGATGGCTGATCGGGTGCGCTGTATCTGCCCCCCACTCAGGCGGGCTATGAACCAGGTCACCTGTTGCCGGGCTAGCCTCTTCCTCCTGGTCACTAGCATCGCCACTTGCTGCTTTCCTCACTCGTTTAGTAGCATCATGCGACTTGTCCGTCTTCTTGAAAAAAGACATAAGATTCAATTGTCTTTTTGACATGTTTGCGCTGAAACTCCGTATATTCCTCTCTCTTGGTCAGTTGGTCAATTCGGTCCTCGCCGTAAACATCATAGACGCGGCAAACCTTACTTTCTGTGAGGGGCGTGGTTTGATCCCGACTCTCCCAAATTACGTTAAATTTGAGTAGAGAATATGAAATTTGTTGGATTTATTCTTTAAATTAATATAATTATTTTTTCTTATGTATTTTCAGACTTTTAAAAATTATTATTTTGAATATTTATATTAGAGGTGACGGATCTGCCCAAATAAGTCCCGGAACACGTAGAGGCCAAAATCAATAGGTGCCGGATCCTGTTCCAAATTAACCACTGGTTATGGTTATTAGAATTTGTGAAGAGTCTGAGTTCCTGAAAAGCGCTATATAAAACCGATGTATTATTTTTATGGAGCAAACCAAGAAATCCTATTTGAAAAAAACATTATTCAGTATGTACAGAGTATTTATTTATTTAAATCCTTCATTCTCTAAACCCTGTAGGGCTGGATATCTTTGGAGATGAAGTAGACTAACTAACTGCTATAGCAGTAAATTTCTCCAGTGTGACATTAATATCTTATCATAATAATAATAATAATAATAATCCATCCATCCATTTTCTACTCTTTAATCCATTTCTGGGTCAGGGGGGTGGCAATCAGAGATGCCACCCAAGTCTCATAGCACCAGCCCCTCACTGACCCTCTGCAGTTGGTGAGTCTACAGGAGGACGGCTGCTCTCTGAGTGTGAGCATAGCCTTGATCTTTCAGTGGGGGCTTTTGGGCAAAGCGGGGTTAAGTGTCTTGCCCAAGGACACAACGACAGCAGTCATCAGTGGGAGTCGGTGGAGAAGGTGCAGAGGTGGGAATTGAACCCACAACCTTCTGGCCTTAAGGCCAATGCTCTACCAACTGAGCTACTGTCGCCCTTAATGGCGCTACTGTCGCCCTTAATAATAATAATGCATCGGTTTTATATAGCGCTTTTTTGGACACTCAAAGACGCTTCACATGTGTCATTATTCATTCACTCCATACACGGTGGTGAATAAATAATATATAAATAATAAAAAATATTTAAAAAATAATAAACTACTACTGTAGCCACAGCTGCCCTGGGGCACACTGACAGAAGCAAGGCAACCAGTATGCGCCATTGGCCCCTCCGACCACCACCAACCATTCATACACACACCATCATTCTAGGCAATGGGGGTGAAGTGTCTTGCCTAAGGACACAACAGCAGTTTGGCACTTTACAGCCGCAGCCGCCCCACTGTGGCTGGTGTTCCCAGAGGTTAAGTGTCTTGCCAAGGACACAACGACAGTAGTCAGTGGGAGTCGATGGTGAAAGTCTTGAGCGGGGCTTGAACCCACGACCTTCTGGCTCAAAGGCCAACGCTCTACCAACTGAGCTACTGCCGCCCATAGCATCATAGCATCAGTTAAGGCCTGGGAGCGAGCAGAGTTGGCTGCTTGAGGCGTGTTTTGACCAAAGAAGTTTGTGATAGACCTACTGCTTGCATCGCCAACTTTGCTGCCGCTCATTGTGGTGCTTCGGTATAATCCAAAGGAGAGGAGTGGGTTGCAGCCGCGGAGGTATCCACGCCGTGCCGTCTTCTCAGATGCGTTGCCAGGTTCGTTGTGCTACCCACGTATTTGATAGGCGGCGCCCGGTGTAACGCCGAGATACACTGCCTTGAAGAGATGCACTGCCTCAGCTGTTTTATGATGTAATGCAAACCTGCGCGTCTCACGGCAGCCAAAGCATACCAAGATGGCGGACCGTGAATTTCTTTAAAAGTTAAAATACGAACGAATTAAGACACGAATGTCACTTTTAATGCAATTTGAGGCGAGATGTTGATGGTTCCGTTTTGTCACATGTGGGTTTTAAGAGTCAAAGTTTTGTGCAAAGTTTAGTTTAAGCAGTCAACTGCACCTGTGAAACCACAAAGCTAATGTCTTGTATTGGATAATTTAAACTTTTTTAACAAATAAAAAACTGGTCTGTCGGGTTGATAATGGAAATCATTAATTTAATTTAATACATGTATTGTACTGTATTCAATATGATTAACAATAGTGTGTTCAAACGAAATATTTAAATAGATCGATTTTTTTCCCCATTTTCCATTATCAACCCAACAGACCAGTTGTAAGCTGTAGAGTGGCCACAGGACGCGTCATCAGCCTACGTCAGGCCAGGGAATAGAATCGAATTAACATGGAATTAACATGAATTACAAGCACAGAGTGCGTTGCCAAAGAGCAGTGGCCATTATTGGTTGGAGAATGTGATAATTGTGACAAGGAATTCTAATTTCGTTTTAGTCTTTTGACTCAAATTCATTTTAGTTTTTGTCACAATTTTAGTCATCTGATTTAAATTAGTTTTAGTCCAATTTTAGTCTACGAAAATTTTAAGCTTGTAGTCAATTAAAAAATACTTTTTTTTTCAAGAAATAATGATCAGTAGAACGTTTTGAAATTACATTAAAATCAATGGAGCGTTCTGCTGCTGCTGTGAGGAACTGTAGAACAAATTATGATTAAATATTCGATTATGGAAAGGATTAAAGTGATTGTCTGGAGTTTGTCAGAAAAAAAGAGAGGTACATGATTTAAAAAAAAAAAAAACACCCAAGCTCCCTCCCCCTTCCTTTCTGATTGGTCTAAGCCTACGTTTCCGTAACAATCAATCAACACATTTAAATTTTAATCGGAGAACATATTATATACATTATTAGGTCATACATTAAGTCCTCTGAGATGACTTCTGTTGTGTAGGGCTATACAAGAATAAATTGTATTGTATTGTATTATTAATACACATGCATGGAGGTTTTCAGAATTATCTATTAACGCTTTCATGACAAAAATAATGTATTAATGCACAAAAAAGCGATCGCAGTAAACCCCGGAAGTAGCTATTATTGTGAATTGAACATTATAGGACACGTCTGCAGAGGATCTGATTATGTATATAGGTTCAGTATATAAATGGGTAACTCAGCGCGGATGTTCAGAATTCTTTATTCAGATTTCATGTAGTTCCAGAGCTTAGTGGAGGCTTGATTCAGAGGCTCCGTGAAAACAAACAACTGAACATGCGCGCAGCTACGAGCATGAGCGCAGATGATTGACAGCCCTTGGCATCACTTGATTGGTTAGCGTGGAGGGCATCATGGATTTTGAGCTATAGCTCAGAGAAGGGAAGGCGGGACTTACCCGTAATATTAGAATTCATAAAATGACTTATTTTATATCAACATTTAAGGCCAGGAGGTAAATTTAATACAATTCTTAAAATGTGTAATTAATTTAGAGTTCCAGACTATCACTTTAATCTCTCCTCCGCACGTCTTGGCCCATTGACCTGGCGCATGCACGGAAAAGTAGACGAGGCTTCAAGACCAATCAGAAAGGAAGGGGGAGGGAGCTTGGGTTGTTTTGTTTTTTTGAAACATGTACCTCTCTCTTTTTCCTGACAAAGTCCAACTATCACTTTAATATAAATGCATATTCCTACATACAAGTTCCATTAAAACCTGTAATTTAATTGAAAAATGCAGCTAATTGCTAATTTTTTGCAGCGGTATATTTACGTTGTGCACAGGTTACATTAAGACACGCACTTGCAATAATCAGGGAATGGTCTGAGTGTCCATGGTCCACGCTGGGTATATTATGGCCCCGTTACGTCTACACACGTTCGTTGAGGTGTTGTCAAAGCGGAGAGGATTAGGAATTCCGTTTGAGTATGTACCCCGCGGTCAATGGATTTACCCATTTCACAAAAAATGCAATTATGATTATGAGGATCCGCATAAAATTCTCATCCCTGGGAAATGTTTGGGAATTTCAGGACAGTCTGTGGCAGAGAGGCCCACATCAGCCTACCCTGTCATTCTCAAAGGTACACTTTTGAGATTATGTATAGATGTAAACAAATGTTTTTTTCAAAATAAGTGTTCCCCCATATGTTATTGAATATTGTTTCATTATAAAATAATTAGCACACCTTCGTCTTTCATCTCGGTGCTCATTGCAGTTGACCCTGTGGATGAGACAATATATTTTCATTTAGATGTTTCATTTTAGAAGAATGCCTATAATGATCATGTAGTATCACATAGATTTAAGCTGAGGTACCCAACTTTCAAACCACAAAAGTGTATACATTTTCTAAATAAAATCCATGTCACGAGTTCCTGGCTCTATCACTGGTTAATTTTTTGCCTCTGTCCAAACTTTGTATCACTTTTTTAAGACACAAAAGTGAAAAAGAGAGCACTACCCTCACTCAGCCAATCCATCTAAATCTAGATTAAGATGGAGAGCGGCCTGCTTTGTTCACATTTAACTTTTGCAAGACTCTTTCTGTTGAGATGAACAAAATGTATTATTTACAAAACAAGAAAGTTAGGTAACCCAGGTTTAACTTTCCCTGTGCGATAATTGCTTTTGATGATATTTTTTGATTGGGTTTTTTTTAAACTTCAAACTTGATGTAAAACTACTACTTTGGGTTGAAAGGGGTACGTTATAGTCGCTCAGAGTCCGAAGACTTCACAATTGTTTGTTAGGTTAAGTTGCATGATCTCACTTTTCTCCAGCTCGTCTGCTCCATCCAAACAGTCCCTGATCCCGTTCCCCACAGCTGACCTGGGGATGCAGACCCCAGTGTTACACCTGAAGGCATCCCTTCTGCACTCTGCAACAACAGCAATGTAGTTAAGGTTACAATCAACTACTTGAGTTTCAATTTACGAAGAGAGAGAGAGAGAGAACATTTTCCTACTCAAGAAATCTTTATTTATATAGCGCCGTTCACAAACAGTTCCAAAGTGCCGCTTTACCTTAAAGATTTATACTTATTTATACTTTTGTATATTTGTTTATATTATTATTAACCTTTCTTGTGTGCTCCTCATTCAAGTTCTGTAACTTGTGATGCGATGGGATGAATGAAGGATCTATTAAGTGTTGTGTGATTTTTTTTCTTCTCACTCCACACACAGTGATATAGCGATACAGGAGGGTTTATTGTACATGTTTTTAGTGGAAGGGGAAACCCCTAAACCCCCAAACTAACCCTAACCCGTCGGAAGGTGGAATCAAATGCTGTGAAGCACAATGCAGTCATATGCAGAATCTTTGCTTTGTTTTTATCTTACTGCCAGAGTTTGTGCTCTGTTTTTCTCAAGTAAAAGTAGTAAGCGTTGCTTTAGGCTGGAACTTTGTCACCGGTTTCGAAGTGATGATGTCATAATTTCCCATGGAATATGAAAAAACCATGAAATAAGCCATTTACGACATTATAGATGCTAAGGCCTGGGGCACCCGGATTATGTTTTTAGCATTTCCAGAGAAACGCGCTTTAGCGACGCGCTTTAGCTGTGTTTTGTGTGGGGCAGGGGATAAATATAAGGAAAGAATTTCTAGTATTAGAGTCCTGGGTTTGATTCCACCTTCAGGAAAGGGCCTTTCTTCATGCAGTTTGCATGTTCTCTCCGTGTTTGCGTAGGTTTTCTCCAGGCGCTCCGGTTTCCGCTACCACTAAAAACATTTATGACAGCCATGAACATAATGTGTGAGTTAATTGGTGATGGTCAGCGGCTCCGATGCACCAGAGTGTTCAGTGTCAGTGTGGAGTGAATGGGAATTTTTGGTGTACCGCTTTGTGTGACCTTGGTCTATGAAATGTGCTTTATAAATAAATATTACTTACTATATATTATTATTATTATTATATATTATATATTATTACTTCAACGGTAAGTACTGTTGAACTGTCATATTAAAGGTAAAGGTAAGGTGCACTTTATAAATCCCCGTAGGGCAATTCATCCTCTGCATTTGACCCATCCTGATGCTACTAGGGCTTAAGTCAGAAGAAGTGGTCGCCGTAGTAACAGCGCCCGGGAACCCATCTCCAGATGTTAAAGCTCGGTTTGGTCAGGACCGGAGCGGGAGGATTTTACCTAGTGTGCATGTTTATTGTGGTAGGGGAAACCGGAGCACCCAGAGGAAACCTACGCAGCCACGGGGAGAACATGCAAATTCCAGTCAGAAAGGCCCTATTCCGACCGGGATTCGAACCCAGAACCTTCTTGCTGAGAAGCGGGAGTGCTGTCCACTCAGGCAGTTCAAAGGGTACATAATTATATATTACAAAATACAGCTTAAGAACTTGACTTAATTGTAATAATTGTTTTCCCTTACCCTCAAAAATGTGTTTGACTAGTGCAACTCCCATCTTTCTGGTCTCCCTCTCAAATCAGCTGCCTGCATCATCACTTGTATCCCCTCCTCCAATCACATCACCCCTGTTCTTCAGAAACTTCACTGGCTTCAAAATTCAATTCAAATCCTCCTGTATACTTTCCTTTTTTTACGTTACATTAGAAAGAATAAAATAAAACAAAGTTGTAATTTGCATACAGTATATTGTCTATGTTTTCCAGTGATTAATCCTTCCAGTTGTGTCAGGAAAAAAAAAATTGTAAAATGTGAAGTAATGCTGTTCTTTTAAAAATCTTTCCCTGTTATACATCCCAAAGAAGTCACTAGACAAGTTTTTGGGGAGTCGTACTTAAATACTTTGTCAATTTCTTTGCCAATATATTTCCAGAAACAAGACATTTTGCTACATTGCCAAAAAATGTGTGTGAAATTCTAATTTTTCAAGTTTCACCAGAAGACCAATTTTGTGTGTAATCCCAGATCTTAGTATAGGCAGATGTGAAATCAAAGTTGTATAAAACAGTGGAACTGTACTTTTACAGCACATCTCGTCACTGCGATCACCGCAGTCGTCCACACCATCACATGCCTGCCTCCGGGGTATGCACTTCTTGTTTACGCACATGAAGTTACAGCCTGGAACACAAAAAAGCAAAGATGTCAGGAATATCTTCAAACCATAAAACACAGTTTCTGCTGGTGAAAAGGTTGAGTTCAGGTTAGATCACAATGTTTCAAAGAGCTTATAGATTCACATTGTGGTGAAGGACAGCGGAAAAATCTTTCCTAGTAACTAAAGTACCTGTCAAAAGTCAGATTGTAGTCAATGTTTAGAGCTAATTTCAATGTAATTTCTGGGCCAATCCACAAGAAACAAAAACTGTCACAAAAAAACAAATATTCTGTGTCTGTATATATTTATACGGTTTTATTTTTTTATGCTTGCTTCAGACCATTTTCTCTGCTCTGGTCCAAAGTAAAATGTTAAATGCTTTGTTAGTATTTTTCAAAAAGTTCACCCTCCTTGAGCGGATTTTCACCTGATCTGCTTGTTTGGACCATGAATCCTCTCCGCTCCGGTCTGACCAGTGTAAAACCATGAACACTGTACTGCAGCAATATTTCAGGTAGAAAAAAAAACAATTGTAAAGCACAAAAACAATAACTGTTTCAGAGCTACTTAGGACTTGCTGCCGTTTCCAGCGCATTCAAAAGTAAACATTTTCTTTAAGACAAGATTGGCCGAAGGGACAAGAAAATATTTATTGCTGAGCTTTTGAAATAAAACTATATTATTTGCTATTATAAACTCAGCAGGGAAGCCAACGTCCCTACCAGATTATATCAAAAAAACATTTCAAACCTTCTATAAACAACTATACTCAATCTTATTCCAAGACCCCATGACCTCCGTGCATTTCTACAATCCATAGATCTTCCTACATTGACAGACGGCCAGACTTCCCAACTGGATGCTCCAATAAATGAAAAAGAACTTCTCTCCGCACTAAAACATATGCCTACAAGTCCCCTGGCCCAGATGGCTTCCCTGCTGAGTTTTATAAACATTTTTGGGATATCCTCTCTCCACTCTTGCTCTGCGAATCTCAGATAAACTCCACCTTCCCTCAAAACACGAATACTGCTTCTATCACTGTAATACTTACACCCAATAAAGACCCCCTGCATCCCTCAAACTATAGACCCATCTCTTTAATAAATGTGGATATAAAAATCATCTCAAAAGAACTGGCACCTAGACTGGAGAGAGTATTCCCATCAATTATCCACCCTGATCAAACAGGTTTTTATAAAAGGCAGACAATCATCAACTAACACACGTAGACTGTTCAATCTCATTCATCACACATCAATATCCAATAGAAATAACTTTATAGTTTCCCTCGATGCTGAAAAGGCTTTCGACAGAGTACACTGGCCTTCCTGTTTGCTGCACTGGGGAGATTTGGCTTCGGGGAATCATTCATAAACTGGATAAAATTGCTCTACAATTCACCTTCTGCATCAATTATAACCAACGGAATAACATCACAAAGATTCACACTACACAGAGGTACAAGAAAGGGCTGCCCACTCTCACCCTTCCTCTTCACCATTTTCATCAAACCACTCGCTGCAGCTGTCCGTCAAAATCAATCCATTATAGGAATTCAAACCCAAAACACTCAACATAAAATTAGCCTCTATGCCGACGACATTCTCCTGTTCCTACACAACGCATCTTCAATAGAAATCACAATCGATCTTATAAACTCATATTCAAAAGTCTCTGACTACGCAATAAACTGGTCAAAGTCCTCAATCCTCCCACTAAAAAACAGCTGGGATGTGGCTGCCTGTAACGTACCAATTCCTGTCACTGACCATATCACATACTTGGGCATACACATCTCCCCCAGGCTGTCAGAGCTATTCAGACTCAACTTCACTCCACTACTCCAAACCCGAGAAAACGATCTTCAACGCTGGGCAAATCTCCCACTATCACTCATAGGTTGAATAGCCACAGTCAAGATGTCCACCTGTTTTGCTGCACTGGGGAGAATTTGGCTCGGGGAATCATTCATAAACTGATAAATTTGCTCTACAATTCACCTTCTGCATAAATTATAGACCAACGACGAACATCACAAAGATTCACACTACACAGAGGTAGCACAAAGGGCGCCCACTCTCACCTTCCTCTTCACCCATTTTCATCAAATCCACTCCTGCACTGTCCGTCAAAATCAATCCATTATAGAATTCATACCCTCACTCAACGAAAATTAGCCTCTATGCCGACGAGAT